TCATTCTTCAACTTGAACATGAGGTGGACTCCATCAACTTCCACCTTTTGAATCTGGTTTGTGTGCACCTTACTCAAGAACTCACTGTACGGCACACTCACATATTTAAGAGGAACTATCGGCTCTGACCCAGGAAACGGGATTTCGGGACGAAACAATCTCATGAAGAACATAGCTACCCCCAATTGCAATAGCAGTCTCATTTGATTTCCTTGAACTATAGGTTGCCAATGCCACTTCGACCACCACGGGTCCGCTTTCCCTTGACTTTCTTTATGAGAAGAACCCGAGCTTGAATCCGAACCTGTAGGTGGTTTACTTTCTGTCGCAGTGGCTTCGCTTGGGTCGTCAGAATCAGTGCCCTGCTCACAAGAACTGTTTGCCCTAACTCTAACCCTGCTATATCTGAAGCAACTGCTCATCGGAGGGGTTCCTTCACGTTCCAATTGCTGGGGAATCGATGTAATCCTAGGTGGAGCTCTGAACAACGAAGGATTGACCATCAAATGACTCGAGCTCCCATGTGTAAGCAAACAAGGACTACATGAAGTTATGGTCTGTCTGTAAAAATACTTCGAGTTAAAGCTCCAATTCAACAATATTTGGGGGTGAATTATCGGCGGGAACACTTCCACGGCGGCCATATTTCAGGCGAAGTAAATCGGCGATGGGTGATAGGCAATCGCGTATTATTTTGTTCTTTTTTATTATGAACAATCAGCGTAATACACCCACTCGTATAAAAAAAGAGATTGAACAAAACAAATCAAAAACGGGTCATCATAAGTCACAATCCATACATGGATAAGGGATTGAACAAACTAATCAGTCACATTTCCATAGATTTTTTAATAGTAATATGGGCTCTAGTAACATTTTAGGAAAACCTTTATTTAATTGTCTATTACATATTTTATCATTAATAATTTTGGTTTTTTACAAGAATATTACTAAAATAAAACATATTTACATAAATATGACTATTCATTACTACAATGTGGTGTTGTGGTAACTTAAGATCAAAACTTCAACATGAATTACTATGATTTCATTACTACTCTAGTCAATAATCATACTTTTGAAAATTATCTTTATTTTGGTCATATTTATGTAATTATTTCAATAATTTTATTACAAAATGCATAACATTTAATGACTATGTGAGCTATTTGTATTGTCAAAATATTATAAAATTATTAGTAGCAAATGCTAAAATTCATAGAAAATGAGAAGAAACAGACAAAGGAAATGTTAGGTGCCCTAGTCAGCGCCTAGGTGCTCTAATCGCCGCCTAGGCGGGATAGGAGCTAGGCGGCTAGTCACTACCCGACTAGCACCTAACATCGTTTAACACATTGAATATAACTCTCTAGAATAATAGATATATGGATGGCTATACTATATGAATATGTTAACTATGAAAAAAAATTCAGTAAACATATTAACTATGTAAGCTAATGTCATAGAATTAAAAATATTCTAATTTGCATTTCTAGTTTTTATAATATACAAAGCTATTCAAATTATTGACAAAATTAAAAAAAAAATGTGTTTAAACGTGTATAAAATTTGTTTGACTTTTCCTCCTGATTTTAAAATAGAAAAAATCTTTTGTAAACACTTTATCGTTGTATACACTTTTACACACGTATGCGAGGTTTTTTTTAAATGTGTAAAAACATGTTTTGTTTGTTACAAACAAAAAAAACTCACAGACGTGTGTAAAAGTGTGTACAGGAAAAATCTCCCTTTTAAATAGTATTATTACCTCTGCCCCCTAAAGTCTTATACATAGGGAAGCGATGCAGTTATTAAAAAAGTAAGATTGTGTGATTCATATTATATTGACAAAGTAAGAACAATTTAGCATTAAACAAATATTATCACATTTAATTAACTATGTTTAAAAAACCGACCCGACCCGGCCGGGTTGACCCGGAACCCGGTGACCCGGACAAAAAACCGGTTCGGTTTTTTCAAAAACCGGAAATGGTCAAAAACCGGAAAAACTCGACTGACCCGGACCCAAGAAACCCGAAAAACCCGGTAAAACCCGGTTTTTGGGTGTTTTTTACCAAAAAAAGTAATTTCTTTTTTATTTTTAATGCATTTTTTATACCAATAAAATTGCAATTTCAATACCTTAAAAAGAAAAACTACGTAATATATTTATATATTTATTAAGAATGAACATCATGCCAAATTATAATATAGATGTACAATAAAAATAAAAATATCATTATACGTAGTAAATTTTTATAAGATCAAAATATACATTGAAATATTATAAGAGTGTATTAAATGCTTAATAAGTACTTAAGTAGTATTGTTAGTTGATTATAATGAATAATAACTAATTTTTATTATAATTTTATTTATAATTATATGTTTACTAGTATTATATAGACGTATAATCATTGACCGGTTTTCCGGCGTTGACCGGGTTGACCCACCGGGTCCAGGTTGACCCGTGACCCAGTCATGTGACCGGGTCACTCTCCGGTCCGGTTTTTACAACATAGAATTTTAATATGTGATTCACATTTACTATTATCACAATCTTAGTGACATCGGTCACAATTAACAGATGAAACAATCTTATCATATGGAGAAGTACTATAAAGTACTCCATCCATCTTTTATAACTTTGTCATTTTCCCTTTATTGGATGTCCCAAAATTTTACCACTTTTCATTTTAATCAATTAATTTGTTATTCTTATTATTTATTTTTCCTCTATACAAACATCAAACACACAGTTGTTAGAATGCTTTTAAATGGACTGAAATTGTCTGGTTTGGTCTATCTGGTCTAGTTTCGTCAGTTTAAGTCCGGTCTGTATTGATCTACTAAATGTCTGATAACTATGTATTTTATAGTTGTCAAAGTCCGGGCCGGTCTTTTTAAGGCTTGTGTGGTTGGCTAAGTCTTGTCTGGTCTGTTTTGATCTGGCCTGGGATTAAAATAAGTTCAAGCTAAACCATTTTTAGTTTATTTTTTTTCATAACGGTCAAACTTAACAAAATTTTAAGGAAGAGAGAGTAATTTCAATAAAAATTACAAAGTCGTTTATCCCCTCCATTTTTCTTTCAATATGCAAAGGTTTCAAATACGGAAAACAAGTCAATTCATTTTATTTTTGTAATTATTAAAACTTTTTCATTTATAGTTAATTTTTTAAAATATATAAGAAATTTTAATTTTTTATAATCTTTCATATGATATCAATATTATATATTTAAAATTAAAAAATTCCAAGTAAAAATATATATTTAGAAAAATTTGATATTTTGAAATTTTTTATAGAAAGATTTGTACCATCCCAAAGATTATAAAAAAATACGGAGTATTTAATTTGATATATTTTTCTTTTACAAAGTTGGATCATAAATAAATAAAATTATAACAATTTGAAAAAGAATAAATAGAATGCCACATGACAATCAACCACAAATACGTACTCCCTCGTCTTTTAGTTAGCATATTCACAAGTGAAGTTTAGAGTCTTGTACAAACTATTATTGTTAGCATGCTTGAATTTAGGATGATAATCTAGAGGAGCTTAACATTTCTTAGAAATATGAGTTTGTTTCCTTCTTGTAACCCATCCAAGAACAGCTCTGATGGAGTATATGACCCAGGAACCCCCGGCCTATAGACTTCTACTTCTCCTACACAGGTCCATTGAGGCCAGGGAACATCTCAGGCCCAAATGCAACGGCCCAAGCCTCAAAGAAACCCAGGATACGCACTGGGGTGCCTTCGGCCTCCTTGGCCGAAGGCTCCAAAACTCACAGGATAGCCTTTTTTGGGACTACGAAGCTGCTGGGAGAAAATGGCGAAAAACAGGAGCCTTCGGCATTATCAAGCCCTCGGCATCAGAGAAGCCTTCGGCTGAACCAGGCCTCCGGTTATACAGAGCCTTCGGCTGCACAGGGGACCTCTGTTACATGGAGCCCCCGACTACACAAGGAGCCCTCGGCTACACAAGGAGCCCTCGGCTACAGAAGGAGCCCTCGGCTACACAAGGAGCCTTCGGCCAAACACGCTCAATCGTCAAAGATTCCCTTTGGAGACAGCCAACCACCGCATTTAATGCGACGTCACATCCGCCAACCGCATTCATTGCGGTGAACATGTCACTGCCGGTGCCACCCGATTGACGTGACCCTTCGGCCGTTGGATTACTAACACGTGTACTCTCATCGCATTTATTGCTGCTATAAATAGCAGCCATTATTCTCCTTGTAAACCACGCTGAGTTCATTTAATAAAATCGACTCTCTCTCCTCCTATTTGTTCTGACGTCTCTCTAGTTATTCCCGCAACAACCCCTCGGATAAGGTACCCCCCGGGTAGACTATCCATCAAGCTCTTTTAAGAGTATTATTTATATGATACTCTCTTAGTCCCTAAAGAGTATTAGGGGTGTTTGGAACTGATTCTGCTTCTGCTTCTATTTTAAAGCAGAAGCATAATTAGAATAAGTTTTCAGAAGCTGGTACCACCCAGCTTCTAAAAAAACTGATTCTGGGAGTAAATTAGAACACCAGAAGTGCTTCTGGAATTTCACCCAAACGCTCCAGCATCTGCTTCTGATCCTTGAAAGAGCGGAATCAATTTTGAGAATCAGATCCAAACACCCCCTTATTTATATAATCTTTCCTCCCTAATCTTTTTATTTTCCTTTCATTTCAGACCATGTTATGAACATGTTGTCAACGCAAATTTGCTCCAAATCCTTAAGATCATTTTCCTGCAGGTATACTTTTCAGTGACTTTAAATTTAGAGGAAAGACATATACCTTCATAGTAATACGTTATTGAAATGAAACTTGCTCATCTTGAATAAATCATTTGTGCTTTGCAAACTTTTTACCTGCAAGAGATTTTTCTTCATGGAGCTTCTAAAATTCTCCGTAAATCTTGTACTATAATCATATAAAAATCGGACTAAAAGTGAAAAGAATACGGAGTAAAAGTTAAATACGATGGACTGAGATTACTATACTTTTCGGGTAGTGTAGTTCTTTTCTTCAATTTTTTTCAGCATGGTAATTTTAGCGGCACATTCAATTATACACTAGAATAAGCGAAAAAACATTACAAAGAAACTGTATAATTAGTCAAAGAAACAAGAGGTCACAACAAAAACAAATTTAGTTACACTTATAGGCAGCATACATCCATATATAGAGATTCTTTATCCCCGGTAGGAGGAATTATCGTATGATGATGCTGATGATTTCAGACCTTGGTTCCAGCAGCGGCTTCCTTGATTTGTTCAATGGTGAAAACCCCAAAGCATTCATCATCAGTGACGGCATTAACGGCTGCAGAAGCGACGTCATCCACACTGATGGGAGGGGCTAGCAGCAGATCAGAGGTGGGAATGGAGCTCAGAGGCCTGGTATACTCCCCCACCATACTCAGGAACCTCTCCATTGGCTCCCCTATCAAATCCAGTGGAATCTCAAACCCATTGGCTACCCTCCTCTTCCCATATATGAAGCCTGGTCTAAGGACCACACCTGAGTTTGGATATTTGGAGAGGACCTCTGCTTCAGCTTTCTTCTTTCCAGTGAAGTAACCCGATGTTTTTAAAAAGGACGGGATATTATAATCATGGACTGAGATCAAGATGAACTTTGGAACCCCATAATCTTTTGCGGCACGAACAGCCACAACATTCGCCTCACCGTTAATCCTTAGCATCTGTTCCTCACTTCCAAAACCTCCAAGCGCTGAAACAACTGCTGTTGCCCCACCAAGAAAATCATCCCAATTTGCATGGAAAACATCCCCTGAAATCCAAGTCACTTGATCTAGCCATGAATCAGAGTAAGACGGACGCCCTGATCTGCTCAGACTTATAACCTCAACGCCCTTGGACACTGCAGCTTTGCAAATTGCAGAGCCAACAAAGCCACTACCTCCCAATACTACAATTCGTTCACTCTTCACATCAGCCACAATATCAATGGCCGCTGTATTCAGATTGCCTTTGATGTCATTGCCTGAATAACTGCATCTGACACCAACCTTGCACAAGCTAGGGTGAGAGCGAAATGAGGAGATTTTGCTGTGCGATGAAGGGAACAGAGACTTTCCGCAGCCATGAAGATGAAGAAATGGAGCCTTTGAAATGGTGCAAACATAATAGAGTGATGTCATATTTGGCTTCCGCTTAGAATGGGTTCAGGGGTGGATTTAGCTTTGACATCAGGCAGCAAAATTTTATTAAATAACATATATTGCAACAAAATAAGTCAAAATGTAATACTCCATATAAAAATGTCTATTTAACAAAATTTATTTTCAGGTATAAAATAACATCTACTGCAACAAAAGACAAAAATAAACATTATAGGAGTAAGAGTTTATGTCGAAGTCAAATACAAAAAAAAAAACACCACAATTTTACAACCGTTCTCTATGGATTTTCATAATTGATATCGTTTGATGATGACATCATGATCAATTTTCAAGAAGATGTATTTTTCTACATAAACAATAAGTCTATAGCCACTCATCACTAATGAATAATTAGATTAATAGTAACAAATCACAATCAAATCCATACCAATATAAATGATGCTCACAAATGAAATGTTAGAACTTGCAAACCACAAATCACATTCATAATTAAAGGCTTAAATGAGTTTAACTTAAAGCCCTCACTGAAAAAACACAAATTAATAGAATCCTAAATTTTAGAAATAAAGTTGATATTTAATTCATGACACCGTGTAAAAGTTGATATTGTGTGGCAAAGAATCGTGCAGAGCAGGGGAAAAATGTGTAAAAAAATGCTTAAGAATGCGTAAGAAATATGGTGAACCACACATTCACAAATTCAGAGACAGAAAGGAGTATCTAAGCAGATAAACTGAATATAAAAAAATACAGTACAATAAAACTAAACAATTAAAAAACTTACAGGCCAAGAGCAGAAATGGCGCAATCGTGCATCCGAGGGCTAGAGGTTGTCGTGTAGCACTAGTAGGCAGCGGCTAGAGGCTAAGGGGTGCTCAGCCACCGTGCGCAACCGTCCGACAGCCGACCAGCGAACAGTCACACAGGGCGCAGTCTAATGCCGATTACCGATTCTGGTGAAGGGAGACTGGACACGCGACCGATGCCAATTAACTATCCCCGCAGAAGTGGAAACGCGGTCTGTGCTTTAGAGTTCTAATTTTGGGCGATTGTTTTATTTTTTGGCTGGGCCGTTTTTTATTTTTTGATAGTAGGCCTGACTTATAAAAAAGGTAGGGGTGGGCGCGGTCCGGTTCGGTCCGATATTTGACAAAACCCGTACCCGGACCGTTACTATTGAAACGGTTCGGTTCGGTTTTAGACCCAAACCCGTTCGGTACGGTTCCAATTTCAAACGGTACGATACCATGTAATAATACCAATACCAAACAATGCCACTTTTTTGACAAAATAAAGTTTAGTCATAATCCAAAAATTCACACAAATTTTCGACAAATGTAAGACTTTTGGGCAAGCGGGTTTGAGTCAGCAAACTGTTTGACTTTTGAGTATTTTTTAGATGGGCTAAACATTAAAATACGGAGTAAAAAGTAAGACAAATTGGGTTGGGCTTCACCCTATGAAGATCTTCCCCTGTAGGCACATACAACGAATTAGTAAATATTATAAATGTATACAAAGTGGCAAAGTGTAAACTGGAAGGAGTCATCAAATTATATACATATACAATAATTATAAATTATTAATTATATAAATACTAATTCGGTCTGGTTCGGTCCGGTACCGGTTCTCATTTTACGAGAACCGGTCATGGCATGGTTTGGAACCGGTACGGTCCGGTTCGGGACAAAAATTTCGAGAACCATTTGGAACCCCGTTATTCGGTACGGTACCATATCGGCCCGGTTCGGTAGCATGCCAGTTCGGTATTTTTGCCCGCCCCTAAAGAAAGGGGATATTTTCCCGATCAACCATAATAAGGGAAATAATATCACTTTTTAGAAACTTAGATTCGTATTTCAAAAATAAGCCAAGTAATACCTTCTTTCCAAGAAAAGCCCATATATAAACATAACCAAATTAGACACCCATAGCTCCTCGTCGACTCCAGAGCGCGAAAATTGCGGAAGTGAAAGTTCTGAGCTGCGAACAAATCGAACGATCTCAAAATTCATGGTGTGATCGCATTTTCTGAGCACAAATCGGATCGTGTTTTACGAGATCGAATCAAAATTATCAGGTAATTACAAAGTACGATTACCTATTTCCAATTCTACTGAGAAACCAAGGTGCGATAATTAGTTATATGAGAACGTATTTGATCGCGTTTTTTAGCATGAAATAACACTTTGTTTTTTAGCATGAATGTAAGTTTTGTTTATCTTTTTGAATAATTGTCGATGAATGATTTGTTCTGTTTTTTGAAAATTAGAGTGATGAATGAATAACTATTGTTTTTGTTTATGCAAATTGCAATACTCTGTAAAATTATTTGGAGTTCATTAAGAATGAACGGTGTCTTTTATTAATATTAATAACAGGGAACATGGAAACAGTTCTTATTTTTGTTCATCACGATGATCAATGGAATGAAACAATGGAGTATGTGAACTTCAATGTCTTTGGAATTACTTTAGCTACAAATAGTTCTTATCCTGAGTTGATTACCACGATAGGAGACAGGATTGGAATAGAAAAATCATCAACTGCAGTGATAATTCAATACAAAGTCAAAGAGAATTATCCACCGTTGATGATACAAGATAACTCAGCACTATTGTTTTACCTACACCTTAAGTAACAAGAGATGGATGTCACTAAATTCCCTCTATGTATCAGCCTTGCTGATGTACATGAAGAAACAACTTGCAACATATTTCTTGGGCGATATCAACAAGAAGAAACAAGTAGTATGCAAGTAGTGACAATGTCTGAAGATAGTTCAACAATTAGTGAAGAGTTGGACATTAATGGTTTTATATTAGCTTGGGCAAATAAAACCAATGAAGAACTACTGCAACAAAAATGTGTTGAGCTAGCATCAACAAATTGCATTAACAGTTATGTAGATCCTGAAGAAGGACTGATTTACATCAACAAGAATGAGTTCAGGAAAGCACTTAAGATGTATGCTATCAAAAATCACTTCCAATACAGGGCACATAAGACAAATAAAAAGTATTTTGCTACAAAATGCTTGCATGAAAAGTGCAGTTGGGAGATAAGATCAAAAGAAACAGGAACCTTGGGAAGGTTCATTGTTGTGAAGTTTATAAAAACACATTCTTGTAGATTGGATGTCAGATTAACAGATCAAGACATGCGACATCCAGTTTGGTAGCAGACTGTATTAAGTCTAAATTGGTGGATCCAAAAACGTCATATAATGCAATGGATGTACAGAGAGATATGTTAGAGCAGTATGACATTGAAATAAGCTACTTAAAAGCGTGGAGAGAAAAAGAAAAGGCGCTGATTAAGCCAAGAGGAAAACCAGAAGAGTCCTATAGGTTTCTGCAACAATTCATGAGTATTGTTAAACAAACAAATCCTCGATCTTTTCTGCAAATCAAAGTTAATGAAGACAATACTTTTTTATATGCATTCATGGCAATCAAAGCATCAATACATGGCTGGAAATTCTGCAGACCGGTGATGCGAGTTTTCTCGCACTTAAAATAGATCGTAATATAGTGGTGTAAGTACGAGCATCGTCTCCACATGGACGGACAAAAGGGAAATAATAATTAACTAAATTTAGCGATTAAAAATAAATAAATAAAATAATGCGTCGTGCGAGATATGATTGGTATGAAAATTAAACTAATGCGAATGAACAATTATATAAAAGCTTGGTTTTCTCTCTAATTAACGACGAAGGGAACATGGATTGATTCCGGGGTAACTAGATTTCTGGCAGATCAGGCCTAATTACATGAAATTAATTTAATTGAGCCTAGCTAATCATTACTAAGTTCTTACCGCTCTCGCGGCGTAGAGAACAATAATTTAGGGGACCGGGCTGATCTCTCATGCGACAGGATCCTAAACTATTGCCATGATGAGCGAGCTTACGGCCCCTTATTAGCTACTAATCTCTTAGCGAATGATTAAATGTGTGTGAAGGTGTCCTAGAGTAAATTAGATCTCTCTTAACTTATTCTACAAGCAATTGTAATTCTAGTGGCCATCTAGGTTACAAGAGATATCAATTAAATTATTCATACACAAATTAAACGGCATTCATGCAATTAAACCAACAAGAATCTAGCCATACATCATGATCAACCCCTTCATCAACCCCAAATCCCTAATTAAACTACTCACAATTCATAATTGAAGAATCAATAGAATTGGGAAGAATAGAATTAATTGTCATTAACATCATCAACACAAGATGCATGTGGGAAAATATTTCCATTAGCTTTTGGTTCTGAAAATGATGAATCCAGGAAATGGTTTTTTTTTTTAATATTAGAGAAGCTTTTGGTTATAAGAATGGAATGGTGATTGTTTCTGATAGGCATGAGAGCATTGCTAAAGGTGTGATAGAAGTATATCCTAAATCTGGACATGGAGTATGCATTTACCATTTGTTTAACAACCTCAAGACAAAGTTCAAAAGAAAAACAAAAAAATGAAAGCCAGTTATTTTGAAGCAGCACAAGCTTATACCAGAGATGAGTTTGACTGCCACATTGAGGAACTGAAGAAGATTGATGAGGAAATAGTGCCATATTTGTACGGTGTTGGGTATGAAAAATGGACTAGAGTGTTCTCAATCTCCAAAAGGTACTCAACCATGAGTTCAAACATAGCAAAATCAGTAAATGTTGTACTGAAGAAAATAAAAAATCTGACAATAACTGCTTTGCTACAGTTCTTACACACATTGGTACAAATATGGACACATGTAAACAGAAATGGTGCAAGAAATACATTCACAGAACTTGCAAAAGTTCCACATGAAACTCTAGAACAGAACTACAAAGGCATGAAACTGAAGGTATATAATTCATACATAAACTTCTTAATTTTGTATATAAAATCTGAAATAATAGTATTTTGTATCAAATTTTATTTGCATGTGGTTCCTTCTAATGAGGTGATATTCAGTGTTTATGAAATGAACAGAATCTTCATTGTTAATCTAGATGACAAAACATGCACTTGTAGAAGGTTTCAAATGGAAGAATTACCTTGTATGCACGCACTGGCAGTACTAAAAAAGAAAAATCAAGAGCCGTACAGTTTTTGCTCATCTTACTACACAAAGGAAACATTGTTGCAAACTTACAGTGAGACAGATAGGGGTGGGTTCGGTTCTTGCGGTTCGGTTTTGACCTAAAACCAAATGTAGAATCAAAGTAAAAAGTTCGGTTCGGTTTCGGTTCGGTCTTACACTCCAAAACTTGGAACCACGGTTTGATTGGTTCGGTCTGTTTCGGTTCAGTTTCGGTTTTTTCAGTTTTTTTACCAAAATTTTTTCACTTGATTTTAAATTGATATAATACTTAAAGGGATCAAACATATTACATAAAGAATTCAAGCACAATATAACGACAAATAAAATAAAAATAAGAAGAGATAAATATGTCTTGAATTATATGAGTATGCGAGATAGATAAAACTGTATATATTATTGATTTAATTTGTTTGTGAGTAGTTTGAAAATTTTTCATGAATGTATATGTTCTATGTGATAAAGTTGAGATTAATATTTATTGTTTTATCAATATAAAATCTTTAAGTTAGCTAAAAATAAAAGTTAATTACTACTAATAACTAGTAAACACATATGATCATCATTCAATATAGCTATTATTGCAGACAATGAATGTGTAAATGAATTTATAAACTAAATTAAATTAAACATAACACAAACATTATTTCTCTAACACAAGAAAACCAAACACTATTGATGATATTAAGATTAACTAGAATTAATGCTTAACAATTAACATATAAATTTCATATTTTAAATAGTTCGGTTTGTTCGGTTCGGTTCGGTTTTGAAGGGTAAAAACCAAAACCGAATCGAACAACTTCGGTTCGGTTCGGTTTTTTACATTCGGTTTCGGTTTCTTAGCGGTTCGGTTTTATTTGGTTGCGATTCGGTTTAATTTGATTCAGTTTTCGGTTTTCGGTTTTTCGGACCCAGCCCTGGAGACAGTGCATCCTATTCCAGATCAAAAAACATGGCAAGTGGATATGTCAGAGCCAATTTTGCAAGTTTATCCACCACATGCAAGGAAGAAGGCAGGAAGGCCGAAAAAGCAGAGATATAAAGCACACTGGGAGACTACCACAACAAACAAATGTGGGAAGTGTGGAAAGCAAGGACATAATAGAAAGACATGCAGGAATGCACCGCAAAAGTAGAAACTATAGCTAGTTTGAGAACTGTTTTAGTATTTTTTATCTATTATTTCTGTTGAAGTTCAATTCAAATGTGCATGAACACTATTAGTGTGAATTCTATATGACTGTGTTTGAATTCTATATGACTGTGTATTCATTTTATATTTTATAAGTACAAATCTCGAATTATGTATGAGATCAGAAACAATAAGAAACAACAATAAACAATTTTAGAAACAATTTTGGGAAGTGTTTTCTAACTTATACTCCATCCGTCGCAATATAAAAGGCACATTTGCATTTCCACACATTTTTGGGTGAACACTGTTTGAACACTGTTTGGCACTGTTTAGACACTGTTTGGCACTGTTTGGACACTGCTTGACACTGTTTGGCACTGTTTTACACTGTTTTGTTTGCCAAAAAGGGAAATGTGTCTTTTATATTGGGACGGCCCGAAAAGGAAAGTGTGTCTTTTATATTGGGACGGAGGGAGTATTTATTACTTGTGTTGAAGATCAATTAAAAAGAGGATAAGTGTGAACAATAAAAATCTTAATTCTATATGATTGAGTGCATATAGTACACGAGGAAAATTACAAGTATTGAATTAAACATGAAACAAGAAACAAGGAAAAACAACAACAAACAATCAAAGAAACAATACATTATTTAAAAACATCGAGAAACAAGTAGAATCAATTGAGGAAACAATTATAAAGTTTAAAAAAACAAGTAACAAACTATAATGGAATATAAAAAAAAGCTATACCAGAAAGATGGAAAAATCAATACAAATTTTGTACAGGAAAATAAGCAAGCAAAAGGCTAAAAAACAGCATTGAAATATAACAAGGAAATAAGAAACAAAAATAAACAAGAATAAAGAAGTAATGGAAACACAAAGAAACAAGGAAAAAATAAGTCATATATTGGTAGAGAGAAAACATGAAGTGTATTACAACAGTACACAACAGATGTTCATAGCAAGCAATTCATATAGGATTACATTTCTACAAAAAAAACTACTTATCGACTTAACAAAAGTATGTTTACAATACAAAGATTACTCATAACTACATCTATCTAATTCTTCAGCTTCTTGCGCTTGCGCTTACATTTGCCTTCACCATCACTCTGCACTTCACCATTCAACTTAGACACTCCATACTGATAAAGAAAATAGGCAAGCCTCGATCTGTATAGCTCAATATCCAAAAATGGAGGAATCTCTATGCCATCAATGAAGTATTCAGCAAAAGCAGCAACATAAGCCCCACAGTCACTAAAAAAAGAATAATCAAAATCAATATTTGTATTAGTAATAGAAGGGATAATGCACAATTGCACAAAACAAAATCAGTATAATAAGATAAATAATCTTACGCTGATTATTGGACAGATAAGTTAGTCATGAATTTCAAATCTAAGTTCTTATTAACATCCACTGCATGTTTAGAAAAGTGGTCCATGTGTCTAAAACACAAAGACACAATCACAGTATATGGCTTAACAGCATCTGTATCATGAGCTATATCCCTTGGACTGACCATGGAATTATAAACATATATGCATCAATCATTAATACAAAATTTAGCTAGAATCCAATGCATCTGTGGTGTAACACCGTCCCCAAGTGTATTTACTTTCAAGTGAATATTGTATTTAACCTTATTGAATGGTTAACGAGTTTACGATGTTATGAATTTTTATTAATTCTTCTGCGGGAATAGTAAATTCGCACGTGGGGCCCACACCGGGAGCGGGGACCGCCCGATATTCCCGGGACCATATATTTTATTCATCTTGGTCTAGATAATATTTATATAGTGGTGGATATCTCATTTGAGCAATGGAAAGGCCCAGAGTTGACCGATTGGTCAAAAGAGGCCCAAATACCGGTATTGGTAATTTAACCGATAAAAGCCCGAAATTGGATTTCGGAGACCTATAAATTAAAGTTGGGAAATTTATATTCATTATAAAGGGTATAATGATTAAGAACACATAATATATTTTATTTGACCCGATAAAATAAAATATATTTAAAACAGTCCGAAAAATACAACTTTCGGGGCCGATTGTACACTTCTGGACAAAAAGGGTTGACCTCCCACATGTGTGGGGGCCAACCCACGAAATTAGCCTCATTATTCAAGGCCTTGGGCGGCTGGAATGGAAAGGGGGAGTGTGAGATGTTGGGGTTGAATGAAAGAGCATCAAAGGTACATAGGGTGGATCCCATTCTTTTCACTCATTTGATCCAATGAGACAAAAAGGATTATCTCACCCCTCCTTCCTCATTTCCTGCGGCCAGCCTTCACCCAACAAGAGCAAAGAAGCTCTCCCCTTCCCTCTCCATTGTTGAAGAGAACTCTCCAAGAAAGAATCCCAAGAAAAGGAGCTAAAAGTGCTAAAGGTGTGAAAGGATTAAGGAACTTGATTAAAGCATTTTTGAACCTCGCCGCAGTTTTGCCGGAGTTGGTCAAAGTTCGCCGGAGTCGGTCAAAGTTCGCCAGAGTTAGTCAAAGTTCAATCGGGAAGCGTAGAACGCGCTTAAGCTCACTTAAGGTGAGGATGACCGACTATATTGCTTATAATTATTGGGTTAATTTTATGAGATTACCTAAATAATTTAAATGTGTTTGGCATGGTTTATAAATGATAAAAAGTGCCTAAATGAAATTAATATTGTTTATAAGTGAAAATGCATAATATACAAATTTATGAATAAATTGTGTATGATTATGTGTTATGAATAAAATGGCATGATAGTTGTATTAACCATAAATGTTCATTGTGATAAATATACTTTTACCTCATGTAAAGAAGTCATGGAAGGATAAAAGTGATATTTTGATATTAGAGCCAAACTATACTAGAATGTGGAGTTAATTTGAGATATACGAACTATTATGAATTTGCATTGGTTATATTAAGATTTAACGGCTAGTATAGAAATACTAGTTGGAAATGTTAGTTCAATAGTTCTTTGGAACTAATCCCAAAATATTGGAGCTAAATAACCTTAAAGGATATTTTTAAGGTGTACTTTATGAACTCAAGTGACATTAGGAGTAGGCCTTAAGGGTTACTCAATATGGGTGGAGCCTAGACTAAGAAATTGTTTAGGGTTAGATGACGTGACTATGAGCCGAGCTCTAGCACGTGGTGGTATGACTATGAGCCGAGCTCTAGCAAAAATGTAGTGTTGAGTTTAATCCAACACGATATAGTAAATATATGTATGAACACTCAGTTTTTACGTGGAAACCCGAAAGGGAGAAAACCACGAGACTTTTTAGGCTAATGTCCAAGCCCTCTCTTTCTCATTAGAACTCTCCTCACCATTACATAGTACATTTTGAGCTCCCATTAATGGAGTCTTGCAAGCTATTCTAGAGAGAAGAAATGAGTTGGGGAAGAAGAGAAAAGGGGATCCCTAAACATGTGGGAAAGCCCCATATTTATAGGGGTAAGGGAAAGGGGGAAACCTAACCTAATGGGCCAAGTAAGCCCAAAATGAGCCCAAAGGGCCGAAACATGCCTAATAGGCTGAAATGGACCTTGTCATTCGGGCTCCAAGCTGGGGCGATGCCTTGGGCTCTTGAAGAGTAACAGACCGGGATAATATACCTCAACACAAGTCCCCCAGTTTCTTGAGTAGTGAGCGTGTGAATCTGCTCGAGAAAGTATACTCTTGCCTACGCTCTTCCTTTGCCTTCTTTGCACATGGCCTCGCTTTCGGAGCAAAGGCTTAATTCAATGCATTCGCTTAGGTGCGAGGGATTGGGGCATTCGGCCCACGGATGCCCGACCCGACTTCCTTTGGACGTTCGACCCTTAGGAACTCGGCCTAGATGTGTCCTTGCTTTTGATGCACGACCCGGTAGCAGACCTCAGAGTCGTCATACAGCGACAATCCTCGGCCTATTCCTAGAGACGTTCGACCTCCAGATGCTAGGTTGGGCTTCCTTGGACGTTCGGCCCCTTGACGGTCAGCCCGCTCGATCTCTCGTTGTTGGGGCTCTGGAATTTTCCTATAGGATGCTCGGCCCGACATGCTTAGCAAGATTAGTCCCTAGAAACCCGACCCAACTTCCTTTGGACGTTCATCTCTAGAAACTCGGCCTAGATGTGTCTTTGCTTTTGATGCACGACCCGGGTAGCAGACCTCGAAGTCGTCATACAGCGACAATCCTCGGCCTATTCCTAGAGACGTTCGACCTCCAGATGCTAGGTTGGGCTTCCTTGGACGTTCGGCCCCTTGACGGTCAGCCCGCTCGATCTCTCGTTGTTGGGGCTCTGGAATTTTCCTTCAGGATGCTCGGCCCGACATGCTTAGGAAGATTAGTCCCTAGAAACCCGACCCAACTTCCTTTGGACGTTCATCCCTAGAAACTCGGCCTAGATGTGTCTTTGATTTTGATGCACGACCTGGTAGCAGACCTCGGAGTCGTCATACAGCGACAATCCTCGGCCTATTCCTAGAGACATTCGACCTCCAGTTGCTAGGTTGGGTCTCCTTGGGACATTTCTACCTCAACATGCTCTGCCTGGGCATGCTCGGTCTCATGATGTGTTGCGCGCCTCAATGCCCTTGGCCTCCGGGGTGGGGATGCTCGTCCCCAGTCTTTGGCCTCTGGATGATGGATGTTCGTCCCCGGGCTTTGGCCTCCGGGTGATGGATGTTCGTCCCCGGGCGTTGGCCTCCGGGTGATGGATGTTCGTCCCCGGGCTTTGGCCTCCGGGTGATGGATGTTCGTCCCCGGGCTTTGGCCTCCGGGTGATGGATGTTCGTCCCCGGGCTTTGGCCTCCGGGTGATGGATGCTCATCCCCGGGCCTAGGCCACTGGACGATAGATGATCGTCTTCGGGCCCTCGGCATCCGGGGTGAAAGATGCTCGTCCATGGCCCTTGGCTCTTGGGGTGGAAGATGTTCGTGTGACACCGCACCCGGGTGTACTTGAATTTGAAATTCAATATGTATTTGAATTTTCTATGCGAATATTCATGTGTGCAAGAACGGTATATTTAATTAATGAAGGATTTATTAAATCATTTATCGGGCCCATGATACTGAGAGCGGGCTACCAAATAATTAGTTGGGTCATCATAATAATTATAGAAGCCCAAGTAAAATGCTAACTAAAGTTGAGGAAAATGTTTGGGCAACCCAAGTACTATTTTGACCCAACCTGCCAGAAATAGCAACAATAATTGGGAAGAGTTTCCTACACCCATTTGGGAGTATTCTACACACTCTAGGCTCTCAAATAATGGGGAGGGGGACAACCAAGAAAGGTTGGTGCGGATGAGTGAAAGGGGAAGCCTCTTTGAGACAAAACCCATACCCCCCATGTCATATCCTTCACATTTGTTTTGTGTTGATTGAGAGGAATCTTCCCTCTACCACTCCTGCATTCATTCGGCCAACACAAGGGGAAGAGCTCAAGGAAAAACCAAAGCTCTCACAAAGCTCAAGCTAGGAGAAAGCAAGAAGGAAGGAAAAACCCAACACAAAAGGCTAGGAATTGAGGTAAGAACCCAAAAGGCTTCATTAACTAGTTTTGTATTCATATGATTTTTAAGAAATCATATAGTGGATTAAACCATGATTTCTACACATTTAAAAGTGTATTATATTGATATAAAGTGGTGGTATTTAACTTAGAAGAGTTGTGGAATCGATAGGAGTTGAAATCGCCGGAAACCGCCATTGTTGGGGACTGTTTTCGAGCTGCAGGCCCGAAAGCCGCCCACCTTTTGCAAAAGCCGCCCGGCTTTTGTCTGCTGTCCAGAATTTTCACTTTCAATCGGCCTAGAACGGGGGTTGATCGAAGGGCTTAGCAAGGGCAACTAGTTGAGCACATCATAAGGTGAGGATGGCTGACTATATTGTTTATAACTAGTGGGTTAATTCATGAGATTACCTAATGTTATAAAAGCATGATTTTAATTAACTAATATGCCAAGTAAAGTGTCAATTGATCATAATGTTGTATATGAAGAGTTGATGCATGATTGATTGGGGTATGAGTAATTGGAGCATGATTACTTGATATGTTTGAGAAGTTGTTCTAGTTGATTTAGTGATGAACTAATAAAATGTTTTTATTAATCACTATTTAATTATATTGATTTTATGGTTAGTAAAGTCAATATAGAATGGAGTGAGAATGAGTTATGGCATGGCCGCCACGTTTGTTTAAAAGGGAAAGAGAATTTGAACTAAGAATAACTCGGGTGATACTAAATGACTAGTCCGAGGTTATAATATGAACATTTATAAATTAATCCTAAGTTTAGGATTGTGATGCTTCGTCACTAGGGTATTCAATTGGGATAGCCTTAGATGATTTAAATGATATAATTATCCTAGGATTGGATTGTTGATATTATTATCCGGGTGGTCTTTAGGATACCCGTAATTGATTGTTTGATTGGTAGCAAGGGTCATGGCTCGGCTCTAGTCTAAGGATAGATGCCCGACCCCATGAACTTGCTAATAAAGATAGATGAGGGTCATGGGTCGGACGAGTCTGAGGATCGTGCCGGACTGCATGGGCCCACAATAGGATAGATGTAAGGACCATGGCCCTACTTGGCTCTAGAGAGCGAGATGGATAGCATGGACTTACAGCGTGATCACGTATAAGGGTGGAATCCGAATCAAAGACCTTGCGAGGCTTTGACAGCGGTAACACATAAGATAGGACCCCGAATGGGCCTTACCTTCCTACGGGAACAGGGTATGAGTCCAGGGGCAGGATGCTGGACTCCGACCGAGTGTTCCATGGAGACTTGGATAGCGGTGACAGGTCCTGTATGAATTATTGTAGGGCAATACGAATTATCGCAGGGCGATACAAATTGTATATTTAAATTATCGCAGGGCGATACAAATTGTATTTTTTTGAATTATCGTAGGGCGATACAAATTGTATTTTTAAATTATCGCAGGGCGATACAAATTGTATTTTTTGAATTATCGTAGGGCGATACAAATTGTATTTTTAGATTATCGCAGGACGATACAGATTATATTTTGAATTATCACAGAGCGATTTGAATTGTATTATTAAATACAAACGGGGAAATAAAATATCGCATGGCGATGCAAAAGGGTTTTGACAAAATACAAATGGGCCTATGGGCCGACTATTTGACGATATATACTTATGTATGATTTGAAAGGGGTAACTATGGGTTATTTCCTAGTATTATGATAACACCTATGTTGAGGGTCTTAAGGATTGAAACATTAATTATATGCAGTATAGTTGTCATTGTACTTTTCAAATGCTTCAAAGTACTGACCTCCCCTTCACGGGGGAGGCCACCTCACAGTTTTCAGGTAGAAGCTAGAGCTTGCTTCCTGTACCCGTTGCTTCAGGAGTTCTTGGAGAGAAGACGTGGTTCGTGCTTCCTCCGTTCTGTTTTCAAAACAATTACAATGATGCTCATGGATAATGTTTTCTAATAAATTATTGAGGGCTTGTATGCCCAAGTTTGCCAAGTGTGGCTTGAACACTTGTAATATTGTTTCCGCTGCTTTAATGAATATTTTACATTATGTTTGTTTATGGATGTACTATGTGTGAATGATATTCCAGACGCCTTGTATAGTATGGATGTGTTAGACTGCGGTTGACTATTCATACTGTACGGCGGATTGTCGACGTGTCCGGGTAGGTCCGGGGCGTGACAGTTCGTCTCCAAGCCCTTGGCCTTTGGTGGTCTTCTTTAGACGCTCGGCTTCTGGGGTGGAGGATGCTCGTCCCCGGGCCTAGGCCACTGGACGATAGATGATCGTCTTCGGGCCTTCGACATCTGGGGTGAAAGATGCTCGTCCATGGCCCTTGGCTCTTGGGGTGGAAGATGTTCGTCTCCAAGCCCTTGGCCTTTGGTGGTCTTCTTTAGACGCTCGACTTCTAGGGTGGAGGATGCTCGTCCCCGGGCCTAGGCCACTGGACGATAGATGATCGTCTTCGGGCCTTCGGCATCCGAGGTGAAAGATGCTCGTCCACGGCCCTTGGCTCTTGATGGTCTTCTTTAGATCCTCGGCCTCCGGGTGGGAGATGCTCGTCCCCGGGCCTAGGCCACTGGACGATAGATGATCGTCTTCGGGCCCTCGGCATCCGGGGTGAAAGATGCTCGTCCACGGCCCTTGGCTCTTGATGGTTCTCTTTAGACCCTCGTCCTCCGGGGGGAGGATGCTCGTCCCCAAGCCCTTGGCACCAAGGTTCATTTTGAGCATCATCTCTTATCTGACTATGATCTTAATCTGCACAATGAACATAGTAACGCGGCCAAATGGCCAGACAATATGTATATGTGCATACTTTTTTTTTGTAGGTCGGCTTGGGGCTCTTCCGAGCATGACGGTCGGCCTCGGAGTGCGATGACCTCCGGCCCGGCCCATCACCTAGTTCTTCCGGACATGAGCGTCGGCCTTGGGGTACGATGACCCTCGGTTCGGCTCATCTCCTAATTATTAAATTAAAAACCCAGTGGAAGCTCATCTCCGAGTTTCGCTCGACATCATTTTTAATTCCGGGATATTTAATTCCCATTAAATAATGATGATAGCAATACTTGTAATAATAATACTAGTTAACACTAATAAGCAATTGATATATTTAATCCTTAGCTTCAAGAAGACGCTCGGCAGTTTTGCTCCCTTAGTTATCAATTTTGACTTGGTCAACAATTGAGACTTTTAACTTGGACGCATCAACTGGACGCGCATCTCCACGCAATTGAAGCCTAAACTCTATCACGGCCATTTGCAGAGCATCTAGCAAAAATCTCCTCTGTCCGGCGAAATCCTGCCATTGGTGGCTTGGGGCGGTGTGGGCCCCAGCCGAGGTACCTTCTTGGGCGGCGACTTCCTTATCATTTGGAGCTTGCCGCAAGGGCCGAGCTGCCCGGTGTACAGACGGCGTTTGCAAAGGACAAACGGCCCCCTGTCGGTCCGAAGCTCTCCGGAGGCCGAGCGGTATACTCTGGATGAAACTTGGTCGGATGGTGAGCACTTATGACCTGGCAAGACGTCCGTCCTCAGAGTGGAATGTCGTGCGGCAACGGGCCACAGGCCGAGCGGCAAGCCATGAGGTGCCAGACGAAGGTTAAGGCTCCCCAAAATGTAGTTATAGGGACGAACGTCTGGGAATTCTCTGGGACCGGTCTGACCAAGGATGTGTGTCACTGCCATTCCAGCATCGTGGGGTGCTTGAGGCCGGCCGGCCAGCTATAGGGGTGATCGTTCATCTGATTTAAGAAGTCCATCGAGCTCACATGGCATCAAGTTCGAGCGTCACCTCCACCCGGCGGAAACCGGCGAGCCGACCGAGGACGCTGGACTGAGACTGAATTGAACGAGTGTATGGCAGCACGGAAGAAACTCCAGCTCACCATTGAAGGCCAAGGAAGCGGACGAGCGTCTCCCACACACCGTGTAATAAGTGTATTAAACGGTTATATCCAGCCGAACGTCTCCCTTCAGGCCCCTAGGCCGTGCGGCTGCGCTAGCACTCCTGCCTTCAGCACTTGGGTGAGCAAGATCGTGCGTCGCCGATGCGAAGGCTGGGTACAGTCAACGCCAGGCGGGGAGTGTCAACGTTGGGCGGCCTGGACGATGCGACTTGATGCTCCGGGTGGTGAGAATCTTTCCTCATGCGCAGCTCAGAATGTGAGAGCTATTCTTCAACAAAAAATGGAAGTCAGCATGCGGGCCCCTATCCCTATCAATCACCAGCTTTTCCTCCCTTTTATTTGTCAGGATAGTGTGACTGGTGGGACCCATCATGCACTCATTCGCCAGATCCAAAATGTTGATGTTTGTTCATAGGTTTAGTTCTTGGAAATAATGGAGAATGGAGATGCGAGTTCGGCCTTCCAA